AAAAATATAATTTTAGGACTTTCAAACATATTACTTAAAAGGAATTTTGAATTTCATAACCTGTTATATTTATTTATTCACATTTATTTAATAAATGATTTTTTTTGAAAAATATCAATACTATTTTTCATATTTTAAATATATGAAAAATAAAGGTTTTAACATTTCATGTTTAATTAGTTTTGACTTTTAAATCTTTAATCTGTTAGCTCAAAAGAGCAAAAGAAAAAAAACTATGTTTATTTTTTATTGGTTCAATTAAAGTAACTATATTCTTTTAAATATTAAAAAAGTCACTTTCTATAAAAGACGAAAAAAAAAATACTACTTCTTTTAATCCCTTTGAAACATTCTGCACCGTTCATGCAATTTAATTTATTTAGGCATTCAATAATTTTGTATACTATTTGACAGCTCATTTAAAAAGCAATTTTAAATGCATCAGAAATTTAATTTCGCCTTCGAAACTTTCACCTCATTCATGATCAGCGTTATACTTTTTTATTCATTCTTTAAAATTAAAAAGCTTATATTTCATAAGATATTCATTCATATATATTTCATTGATCCCACTGGATTTAAGAGCGGAAAGTTTATAGGATAAGCTTAAATTTATTCTTTGCATTTTAATGGGTAAAATAATAAAATGGATATTTCTCCATGATTTATTACTTTAATTAAAGCTAAAGTAATGTCCCCTAACTATTTTTTCTGATTCATAAATAAAGTATTTGGAATCGTCAAATCAATCACGATGTGACAAAAATATTTGACTGTTACTAACACTTAATATATTATTTATAGATATATATTAAAATTTTTGTCAAAAAAATGAAGTAAATAAAGTACATCTACACCAGAGCTTTCAAGTTAATATTTAAGTAAGGGAAAAAAAGTTAGCAAAAATTGAAAAAAAATTGTCTCATTTTGAACAAAGAATCTAGAAGTTTATTTCAACCAAACTCTAAAAGAGTTTTTACATGTTTCTCAATCTGAAAAAAAGTGCAACTTTTGTGAAAATTAACAAATGGCATGAAATTTTAAACATTGCTTTACGATAATTTTTCTAAGTGCGTGTTATTGATAATATTGATTACACTCTTATTCCATTAATAATTTAATTTATGGTTAAATGAAGTTGTAATGTCACACATTTAATATTGCTTTACAATAATTTTTCTAAGTGCGTGTACTTAATAATATTACTTATACTCTTATTCCATTAACAATTTAATTTGTGGTTAAATGAAGTTGTAATGTCACACATTTAATATTGCTTCACAATAATTTTTCTAAGTGCGTGTACTGAATAATATTGCTAACACTCTTATTCCATTAACAATTTAATTTATGGTTAAAGGAAGTTGTAATATCACACATTTAATATTTGCTTTACAATAATTTTTCTAAGTGCGTGTACTTAATAATATTGCTTATACTCTTATTCCATTAACAATTTAATTTATGGTTAAATGAAGTTGTAATGTCACACATTTAATATTGCTTCACAATAATTTTTCTAAGTGCGTGTACTGAATAATATTGCTTACACTCTTATTCCAGTAACAATTTTATTTACGGTTAAATGAAGTTGTAATGTTACACATTTAATACATTTTTTGAACTCCAATGAATCTCGAAACTAATAAAAAGCACAAAACATAAGTAACGAGCTTTAGAGAATTTGATTTTATTATTTATCATAAAAATTTTTGATTCTAAATTATTATTATTATATCTGTTTTGCTTCTTTCATGCTGTCTTCAAACTCTTTTATTTCCATCATGCATACTTTTCTCTACAACTGTTGGTAAGAAAGTATACATTCAGCTGTATGTGTTCATGAAACTAATTTTTTGAAGGAAGAATTCATGTCTTTGTGCGCGTAGTAGATACAATTTAAAAATTAAGATTTAGCATGTACAGTGTTTGTATAGAACATAAACTTTAGCTTGACTACCGTCTGTGCAGAGCATAGCTTAAAGCGCGAATTAACATATACGTTTAAATTGTCACATATACTAAAAGTAAATTATATAAATATGGTAAATTACATTAAGTTATATTCAGTCCGCCAAAGACTCCCTGTGTAGAAAAATGGTGACTGGCGCACGTTAAATCTATCGGGTCGCAAAGTCTTCCATGTTCCCATAACAAATCAATACCTTTGGGAGAGCCGCGATAGCTCAGGGGATAGAGCGTTCGCCTTCCAATGAATTGAACCAGGGTTCGATTCTGGCAATGGCTGGTCGATAAGAATTCCGCATCCGGCTTGCACCGACCACCGTGCTGACTTGAAATATCCTCAATGGTAGACGGATCATGGGTTGGAGTCCCTTTTCCGTCAGGCCAACCGTGGGAGGTTCTCGTGGTCTTCCTCTCCATGTAAGGCAAATGCGGGTTAGTTCCATCAAGAAAAGTCCTCCACGAAGGCAAATTTCTCCCAATGCTTGGTCCAGGAGTTCCCTAGGGTTTTAAATTACATGGCTACGAAGTAGAACATTAATAGTCGTAAACCAAAGGAAATTGGGTCGGCTATTCAACGACGGTTATAAAAAAACCCTCTGGGGGTACTGAATTGGAGATTAATCATTCTCTGGTTCAGGTCAAAAATACGATCTATGTACAAATGAAAAGATGTATGAATGGGTCCGCCCTATAAACGGGTGTGACGTATGGGTGGGGCAGAAATTAAATTTTTGGTCATAGATGGCACCACTGGAAAACAAGAAGAATCAAACCCCAGCTGCTTTAATGGCCGAAAACAACAACAACATTAAATTATATATAATAATAAATAATAACATTATATTAGGAATTAAACTTATGTGCAAAGAGCTTAACTTATATGGAGCTCAACTTATATGCTATTTATAAAGAGAAAGGTACAAAACAAATTGAAATATATGAAAAATTTCTAATTCTTTTCCTCTCTTTTTTGACGTCGGTGAAGCTGTTATAGAAGAACACTAGTGGGAAGTCCATGAATGGACGTTCTACTGGTGTTCAGTTCATATTCCGATCGATGAACATTCAATTAATTCATGAGTGTCATAACTATACGGCGTGAATTTTAAAAAGAAATTGCCAAGTAAAATTCGAAACAATTTCAAAACTTAAATTGCTTTTTCTCAAAACAACAATTTTATATTAGAGAATTCGTTAAATTTTACAGTTTTTATCAGGTTTAACTACAAATTTCATGAAATACCTACTAATCATGTATCTTTCCTTCTGATTGTAGTGTTTCATTAACTAAATGATAAACTCTGACTTTTAAGACGTTTCACTTTCAATGATTTGTTAGAAATAATTGGCAACGCAAAGGCAAATTTAAAAAAAAAAAAAAAAAAAAAAAAAAAAAAAAAAAAAAAAAAAAAAAGAAAGAAAGAAACAGTCCTTTATTTATAAAATTAAAAGATACACTGCAAAAAAAATTTTTTTTGTATATCTGATACCATTTTTTATTTGAAGTAAATTAAAATTTTTTACAGTGCAAGTTCACATGTTTCATTTACTTTTTCACTGTTATAGTTTTTTTGTGTGGACTGTTTTCATCATTTTATGCTTGTTTATTTACTGACAACACATATTTTCATGCGATTTAGAATCAATTTTTGTCTTTATTGCAAAAGCATTTCCTTTCAGAAACTAGTAAGTTTTTATTAATATATTCGCACCAATTCTTTCAAATAACTGCTAGTTTGTCAATTTCATATAATATTTTGCACTGTAAAATTACGTTAAATCTACGAAAAAAGGAACCAAATAATTTTTTTTTTATTTTATAACCGTCGTTGAACAGCCGACCCAATTTCATGGGTATACGACTACTTACGTTCAACTCCGTAGCCTTGTAATTTTGAACCAATCCAGAAGACAAGGAAACTCCTGGATCAGTACCCCCAGAGGTATTGATTTGTTGTGGGAACATGGAGGACTTTGAGACTCGACAGATTTAACGTGCATCAGTCACCATTTACTACACGGGGAGTCTTCGGCCGGCGAGGATCGAACCCACGACCTCTTGGATAGGGGCCCAGCGCCCTACCGACCAGGCTATCCCGGCCTGAACCAAATAATTGAAATCTTTAAATGAATTTTAGAATTTGAACCGCTACCCGAATTTCAAGCTCCTAACTCAAAATCTTCCGGAGTTATAAGAGACGCATGCAAACTCCTCCTTTTTATAATGTAGATGACTTCTAATTGTTCATATTGCAGAAAATTTAAACGTCAGAGAAATGAAAAGAAATGAAAGATATCGAAATGTACAGTTTGCATCTTTCTTCCTAGGAAAGCACTTGTTCCTTTATCAAGTTTGAATATTAGTAACAAGAAGATCCAACAGGTAGAGTTGCTACCTAAAAAACTAACATTTAGGAGAAAAGGAGGAATAAAGGGCAAAATTAATGGATAAATCTTCAAAAATCGCAATTCTATTATTAAGACCAAAGATACTACTGGCAGTTTGGTAACAAGTGTTGCTTTAAAGGGTAACAAATATACTTATGTAGGTATTTAATATAGATACTGCGATATTAACTTTTTTTTCACGGATAAGTAAAGGCAGAATACTGCTTGATTGTTGTATTTTTTTTCCCATCTGGAATTGGCCACGAAAATTAGGATCATGGTATGTGTTGCTGAATAATTACGAAAACTTCATTAAGAGCATTTAAGATAAAATAGCTACTATTTGCAACTACAGCATAGTGCCGTCATGGTACAAAATTAACATACGCTGTCAAACTTTTTTTCATTGGAATGGCGTGACATGCAGCAGAATACCTCTGTTTTGCAATTTTTACTGTCAGCAGTGCCATCTTCTAGCAATTGTTGTAGTTAATTTTGAAAATTTAAAAATAGAGTTAGGATCGTTTTCTAAACAAAGCCCAGTAAAACGTTGCCTATCTCCTTCTATCTGTACTTCTTTAAATTTATTATTCAAATCGGCAGACACTTTATGAGACATATAAAACGCGACGATTTCACCTTACCTGAAATAAGCTACATTCTTTCGATTGACTCCTGTTATGACATCTTCAAGAAGTCGTTGCAGACCAGCAGAACTATCATCTTCTGTTGATACTCCATCGATTGTTGAACTGTCGACGAATAGCGATGAAACCTGGTCAGACAAGTCAATCTCTAAAAAGAAAAAAAAAAGAAAATTAAGAGATAATATTAAGCTTCATTGGTGCACTGAGCTCCCATAGAGTGGTATCAGAGTTTAATCTCTGGTAGTGGCTAAAGTCCACCCAGCTTCAGACAGATTGATATCAGGTTTTAAGACTAAGTAAGGACGATTTGTGCGCAAGGCTTACCTCACCCTCATTGCCATAACCAAACCGTTAGTCTCAAAATTGTAAAGCTTGAAGCACGATGAACCCCTAGCGAATAATAAGTGTGAAGCGGATATTGGAAAAAAAATAGTTAATGTTAAACTAGTACCTATATTAGTTTATAGTATTTGGTAATAAGGTTATGCACAATTAAAAATATTTAAAAATAATAATTTAAATTATTGGTTATTAAGTAAAAATATGAATATTTATTGCATTATTTTAGAGCATACACTGAGAAAAAAATTAAAACATAACAGAAATGTTAATTTCGAAATCGGTTTTCCATTTTTTTCTATTTGTATAGACTTTGTTTTCTGCATCTAACTGTTCGATTGAATAATTTATTTATATTATTTAGATCTACAAAAAATTATTGAATGATATTTTTGCTTAACACTTTACGCAACGTTTTTTATTTGTACAAGAACAACATCGCAGTTTAGTTTCTTTTAGAGATATAAATAAAAAAGAATAAATATATATTTGAAAATAGTAACTTGAGAGAATCTACACTGTCCCAACTAAGGCTGATATACGGATGGGAGAAAGGGCGAAGACAATCACACCGGGAGTGGGATCTTCATCAAAACTCAGATGAGCGAAATTAGGATCCAGAAAAGGAATCCAAACCACTATTCCGTTTTTAGGAGCGAGCTTATTGCCATTGATGAAGGACTTGCCTCAATACTGTCTCTTTCAATTCCGAAAGAGATTTGGATCCTTACTGACAGTAGCAGCTCTGTTCAGCACTTGGCTAGCTGGCACAGACTGAGAGACAATACTAGCACGAACATCCTTTATAAACTTTTACACCTCTCCAAATATTGTCCAATTCACGTGCAATGGATACCCTCACACGTAGATATATCAAGCAATGAAATGGCTGATAGTCTAGCCAAGACAGGTGCAGTTGAGCCACTGCGCCTCCAGTGTCTCTTACCTCCTCAGAGCTTTTCTCCATTTCTAAAGCCAAAAATAAATCAGCATGGCTCACTCCACCCAGTCATAATTGGTACCATGGTACCAGACAGGTTAGCTGTTTGGCAGCTGACAAAGACCGTCAGTCTCAAACCGCCATCGTTTGTCTCCGTGGGCGAAGACGTGTGTCTCCGCCGTGGACACCTGAAATCACTGAGGTACTCTGGAGGAGAAAAGTGTTTTGCCCTCTGTACAAAGTGCTCTTCGGCCCAGGCATCCCCATAACATCAACTGGACTGCCTCGGTCTTTTAAAACAAGACCTTATAGAAAGACCCTTACTTGTTTTAGACTTTTTGAAGGTGAACAAACTCATGGACCTTGTCTAGCTAGGCTAGAAATGGGGATTTGAAAGAAGAAGAAGAAATGCAGTCAATTCGCTATAACTCGAAGTACGATAAATCGAATATTACTATAACTCGATTTTTTTATGAGGTCCCGACCCTTTTATCTTCAATTTCATGCTAATTATTCTCGATTACTTGAATTTTACTCCCTTTAACTATATTTTTTTGGGATCTTTTAAAGCAAGAAAAAAAAACCTAGGAGCTGATATCTTGCCCCTTCCTTTGCAACACACACACAGTGTCTTTCGCACTCTTCATGGAGAAGCTAAAGCTGTCCCTCTTGAAGTATGTGAACAGTGGTTAAATGAAACGTTACCAAATTTACTTCAAGCATACAGTTAAAATGATGTTTTCAATATTGATGAAATGGGTTTATTTTTTAAATGTCTTCCAAATAAGACTGTGATGTTTAAGGATGAGAACTGCTCAGGGGGTAAAATGAGCAAGGAACGTTTGACTGTCCTAGTTGGAGGAAATGCGTCTGGGACAGAGAAATTGCCCTTACTTGTTATCGGAAAATACCGAAATCCCCGATGTTTCAAGAATGTAAAAACGTATTCTTTAAATTACAAGTCTAACAAAAAGTTTCGGATGACATCAGTTTTATATGAAGACTATGTAAGAAAATTGGATCTGAAATTCTTCGCAAAAAGAGAAAAGTGATACTCTTTATGGATAAATGCACAGCGCATAGCTACCTAATTTGAAAGCAGTAAACTTGCAGTTTCTCCTGCCAAACACAACAGCAAAGTTGCAGCCGATGGACCAGGGTATCATAAAGTGCTTCAAACAGTCTTCTCGTAAATGGCTTGTCAGAAAAATGATCTTAAATATTGTAAGCATTTAGAAGATTTGTAATTAATAAGCATTAATTAAATTATCCGACAATATTTTGAAAGTCCAAAACCGAAACTAACGGTAAGTCGAACTTCCGATATGTCGAAGTTTTTCGTCAGTCCTATCAGATTCGAGTTATCGCGAATTCACTGTATATATTTTTAATTTTATAACTTTTATTTATACAGAAACAGTAAGACAGTTGAAATTTAGTATATGCAAATAATTACACTCTATTGTGATCACAATTTTTGAAGTTTGTTTTTCTCAAAATTAGTTGACATTCTCAATTTGTTTTAATCGATATCTGTGATAATTCCAGTGATGGCTTGTTGATACCAATTCCGCACCGAGCACAGTGCTGACGTAAAATATCCTCAGTCGTAGACGGATCATGGGTTAGAGTTTCCTTGCCGTCAGGCCAACCGTGGAAGATTCTCGTGGTCTTCCTCTCCATGTAACGCAAATGTGGGTTAGTTCCATCGATTGGACCTGAAGGCAAATTTCTCTGAATACTTTATCCAAGAGTTCCCTTGTCATCTAGATTGGGTTCAGAATTACAAGGCTACGGAGTTGAATATTAGTAGTCGTAAACCCAAAAAATTGAGTCGGCTGTTCAACGATGGTTATAAAATAAAAAGTTATATAAAAAAAAATTATAAATATTTTTTCACAATGGTTGACATTCACAATTTTTTTAAAACATTTTAATTTACGAATAGGATAAATTACCCACCATGAATTTCTGATAAGAGGGATGTAATTTAATTTGATTTCAGAGTTTATTTAGGGAACTTTCCTTTTATAAGTTCAATCGAATCTAAATCAGATCGTGTACATTTTAGAATTGGAATTAGAGTGCTTTCAAAAATAACATCGCCTTCAAAAGCTGTTGATTGAATTTAATCTCAAGTAACGAAACACAGAGGCAGAAATCCCACGATCTGATTATATCCTTTGAAAGATATACTTTCAGATCTTTATTCGCATTTAACTAATTTCCTTTGGACGCCACTTCCGAATCAGTTGAGTGGAAAAGTTTATTAAAAATTCAATTAGATGTTGAATTCTTAGAATTGTTTTCACTGTGCAAGTCTGCTCTTGGAATGAAATAACTTCTTAAATTGCATTTTTGAAAGACGGTGAATGTTTGATGCCTGAAAAATAATATATAAATGTATCAAAGAAATTACCTCTGTTAAAGAAAGAAAAGTTAGCTTTGTTTGTTTAGGAAAATTAAATATTACTTTTGAATATCTTTTTAGTTTGAGATATTTTCTGACTCCAATATCAAGACTGAAAAAGAAAAAAAAAGTAGTGAAATTTAAATAGGATTAGTATTTCAAAATATTGTTCTAAAGTCTAATGAAGACTAAAAAGTACAAATTTTGTTAAGTAATTTTCACTTGTTAATAGAATATTGATGATTTTACCAGACATTAGTGAATGATTATTTAGGAAAAAAATTATTATAACTATTAAAATTAGATTTAAATTTAGAAATTTAAATTAGTTGATGGTTAAAAACTTCCTTAGACAGAGTTAATTTTTTTTTCTTAACTTTGTATCTAAATGCGATGCTTGAAAGCATTATAATAGAATTTTGTTGTTTAAGAAAACGCAAAAAATAATATCGTCCATAGGGATTGAATTTTTATTTTGTCCTCAGATATAAATTCAAAAACATAGATTCAATTAAATTTATTAATTTTGTATTTATATCCAAGTTTTTTACATATGATCAAACAAAACTATTTTAGTTTTAAAATTTTTAATTTTACACTACAAGGCACTTTAAACACGCGAGATTTTTATTTTATTTTATTAATAGGCTTAAATGTCTGTTAATGGAGATAATACAAAGCATGCTATCTATATAGAGTTTTGTAAACTTCTTTTTCTTCTTCAATTGCATGATAGATCTAGGTGAGTCCTGGCCTTCTCCAGAATTCTTTTTCGGAAGCCTCTCCATTTGGTGACAGTCTTTTTATTTTTGGATTTCAGAAGTTCCGTGTCTTATCCGAGATAGTCAACTAAAGCGAGATCTGCGTCTTTATCCAGTTCCTATTCCAACGCATAATATCGAATCTTTGTGCTAAAGTTCACGGTTGGGATATTTGTGTCGGTTACGACGATTGAATATGTGGCATAAAAAATTTGGTAATTCAGCAAAATTGTAACATTAATTTATTTAGTGTTTTAATGCACTCAATTTTTTTCAGCTCGAAACGTTTTTTAGCAAAATTGCAAAAATAGTATGAATTTACAAAAATAGTTGCTATTTCAAGAGTAAAAATAATTTTAAATACCATTGCTAAAATAATAGTGGTTTGAAAATTCGTAAGTTTTTTTTTAAAAAAAAAAGCAAATGTGTTAAATACAGCTATCACCGTAATCACTGTATTGGGAGTTAAGTTGACAATCGCTCGCATTTGTACTCAACCCAATTCAAGATAGAATAACTATCATTAATACAAAATACTAATACATTATACTAAAATCAAACTAATGCATTACGGTTCCAAATTTTAGTTTTTAAGTTTACGCTAGTTTAGTCGATAATAAAAGTACCATATAATAAAAATTGTTAAATCACCCAATTGTTTTCTGTTATAACTTATTAACTACTTATATTTTCTAATA